AAAGAATGTTAATGACTTAATCAATTCAGGTAATTAATTGCATGGACATGCTTTCAACTGCACTTATCAAGTACAGGGATATGGTATAAACAATATGTTAGTTATTCATTCAAGGGACATGATATCAGTTAAAGTTATTACTTCACGGGTCATGATATTAATTAAAGATATTCATTTAAGTACATGATATCAATTACAGATATTCATGTAAGAACATGATATCAATTACAGATATTCATTTCAGTACATGATATCAATTACAGATATTCATTTCAGTACGTGATATCAATTACATATATTCATATAAGTACGTGATATCAATTACAGATATTCATTTCAATACATGATATCAATTACTGATATTCATATAAGTACATGATATCAATTAAAGTCATTAGTTCAACGGATATGCTATTATTGTAGCACAAATTAGAAATTTCCTTTATTATGATTGGTCGAAAAGTGTGGTTGAATGGACAATAAACTCCCCCTAAATTATCAAAGCGAATTAAAGCATATGAATAATTATTAAGTGTAGGCTACATTGTTTTTCATCTTTGTGCTCGATGATCTGCCTCAACTCAAATCTTTATTGGCACAAATATCTTCAAGAAATTCTGCACACATGACTATCACATCATTTTCAAACATCATCTTTTTGTAAAAACACATTTCTGAAATACATAAAACAGTAGAAAACAGTCATAAATTAATTAAAACCGTTTTCAGATATCCAAATATATTCGTAACTAGGCAGTGACAGTATAGACAATTGTCTTTTCTTTTTTGGCAGGCTAGCTTCACCAATTTTTACTTAATCAGGTGGAATTTGTTTTTACATCACGCTTTGATAAAATTTTGACTAGCATGATTTTGCATAATAATAAGTCATTAGTCACAAGAAATCACGTGAAAATATAATGAGGGAGTCGAAATTAGCAGCTGAAATATAGGCCCTAATCATTATGCCAAAATTGACATTTGTTGACAACATAGCAACCGCTAGAATCTTAGGCTAGTGTATCACTGTTATGGTTTTACAGGTTATTTTTGAGGATGAAGTACGAACTGCAATTGTGTGAACAAGAACTAGCGTAGGGTTACGCCTCTTTTAGTCTCGAATAGCAGGCCGGAATTATTTTCAATCTGTCGTCTCAAAATACCCAATAAGACTAATTTCCTTGGGGGGGGGGGGGGGGTAAATCTTCAAACGTTAATTTTTTAAATTTTTTTTTTTGGTTAGCACCTGCGCGCTGTATCATAAGGTCTGTCATTGAGTCAACTTGTACGTGACAAGGAGTAGGGTCGCCTGTCCAACTTCGTGTTTTTTCTCCGAGTCCTCCGGTTTCCTCCCACTGCTAAAGACCCTTACGCGCAAGCGAATTATTTAAATAATATTGAACCATGTGTTAATCCCGAAATGACCTAGTTTCTGCCGAGTGGACGTTTAACCAATCTCTCTCTCTCTCTGTCTCTGTAATGTCCATTTAATAACTGTCTTGATCACGTCCTGAGATATTCAATACGTGAAAGTAATCTGTCAGTCGAAAAGATCACCGAGAAAAGGCCAAAACGGCGTTAATTAGGGGATGATTTAAACTTTATATCAGCCTTCAATTAAAAACCCGTCTTCATTAGCCTAGATCATCTTGCAGAGTAAGACCCTTTTATTTTATATCCGCTTTGAATTAAAATGAAATGAAATGGATCGTTCTACTGTTTTGCTCCTGCTGAAGACGGGCATACGCCATACATCCCCGGTGAGTTGATGGCAGGTATAAAAAAGTAAACGGGTATTGAACATTATCTTGGAAAAGTACACCCATATAGGCATCAAAATTATCAAAAAATGATATAGAGAGCTTTTTTCGTGGTGAGCCAATAACTATTTTCTTAAATTTTTACAAGGCTAGTACATGAAACAATTTTTGTCGCATTTGAAAGACGTGAGGTTTTCAGAGCAAAACATGTTAAATGATCATTTTTTTTCAACTGTAATTATATTAAGTCATTTATACGACCATTTCTTTCAACAATTCTGACGTCATTCGCAAAAAGTCACTCATTTGATTTCGTAAACGGTCACGTAGTAAGGACGCCACCCCGGTCTGACAGGGGCATTAGTTTACGCTAGGTTCACACTATCACGATTCGCTCTACGATTGAACTCGTAGTTTTAACCCTGGAGTAACCGTGGTGATCCTATCAGTTCTTATCAGTTCTACAAATCGTGTTGATCGTATCGAAACATATCCGAATGTATCTGCACGTAGCAGATTGTGGACTCAATCGGAACAGGCGCGGATCCAGAGGCGGGGGTTTGGGGTTCCCCCCCCCCCCCCTGCTCAACTACATATATGTTTTTGTAAAAAAAACTTTTTATGAGAAAAGTGTCGTAATTGTGCTTTATCCTTTGTCGTCAGATGTGGGACAGGATGGGCACTCAAAGCGCGAGATAATGATATAGACATATGTGATATCACAATTAATGCTTTGCATCAATAAAATTGAATCACAATGTCATCGTATTAATTCATAATAAAAATTGACGTCAAACAAGATGTTGGATTTCTCTGTTTAAAAAGATCAATGTGTATGTATATATGCCAAAATGACGATAGAGACCATGTATTTCTCAAAAAAATTCAAGCCGAGGTGGGGGGGGGGATACATTTTCTCAGGAACCTGGCAAACCCCCTCCTGCAAAAATTCCTGGATCCGCCCCTGAACAACTATGTCATAACGCATCGCACGACAGTGAGAACCTAGCATTATATCGTAAATTCAGTCACGTAAAGTTATTTATCATTTGATTAGCTATTATAAAACCATTGGAATTGATGTAGTCTTCGCGCCGAGGACAGCAAAGTAAAGCATGAGTAACCATCCTTAGCGGTTAACGCCCTATTTGTGACTTTCTGAATATGCGATTGTTATGCGATTCTAAAACGTGTCATACACGCAAAAACTAACTAAACATTTACAACTTCATTATATACGTATAACAATAGAAGCAGAAGAAATGCTTATCAAAAACTCCAAGTATACTTCGTGTGTTTTATTGTGTCTGTTAGTGAAACTAATTGTAGACATACAGCGTATGGTATGTCATTGTTTGTTTTTAGTTTGATATACATTAATTCAAAGACTCACATTTTTATATTTTAAATAGCAATTTAGATTTAAGCGATAACGACGCTTTTTTTTCGGATTGAGAAAACAGCTAGTTTGAAAGCCGATTCGGGTATTTAACTGGCACACAGTAGATATAAAGTTAACGTGACATATCAACTATAAATATAAGACACACACCGTTACCCCGCACCCCCCCCCCCCCTCCGACGCATCTACAATATATCAGTGACTTATCGTTCCTGGAGTTAAATTAAATCATATGTTAGTCCCGAAATGACCTAGTTTGTGTCGAGTGGACGTTAAACCCCATTTCTCTCTCTCTCTCTCATTTCAGAGACACGGGGATCGTCAGCTAAGGACTAAACATCTTGGTCTGGCTTGGTAGCTATGCATCTGTATAGCAATATATATCATTCTGTATATATAAATTGTTTTCTAGATAATATAGCTATTGTACTCAATGTGTATCCATTTCCTGTGTATAGAAATGAAATGAAATGAAAGGGGGGTTTAACTTCCTACTGTTCTGCTCCGAACTGGGCTAATGAAGACGGGCATACTCCATACAGTGTGCTATGAAGGAAATTTTTTACCCGGAAAGCAACACTACGGCCTACTCTTATATCGAATTCCAACAGTCAAGGGATCTTTTACGTGCATGCCAATGTGTACACGGGACCTCGGTTTTTCGTCCCATCCGAATGACTAGACAGCTGTCCTTACCAGGTCCTTCGTCCTGCATCACTGATAAGGGAGAACTACGCCGGAAAATCTGGATGCAGGGATCGAACATTCTACTCGACAAGCCAGAGTGTAACCCACTTAGCCACCGTCATCCCACCTGTGTATGGAAGTTAAAGATTCACCCTAGCGCTACTAGTATAATTAAGTAACGCGTCTACATTAACTGAATACATTACTTTTCAACCTTTCTTTTCTCATTGATTTTATACGCCTTGTATTCTTGCAGGGGGTGGTTGGCTGGATGGTTAACGCGTGCGTGTTGGATCAGAAGGTCTGTCATTGGGTCAAGTGGTATGGTTTTGATTCCCTGCTTGTACGTGACAAAGAGTAGGGTTATCTATCTAGTTTAACAGGGCTGTGATAATTGTTTATAGCCTATGCATTGAATATCCCCGGGTGATATTGAAACAGTTTGTAATTAAAGGGGAGGAAACTGCTATAAAGTGTCATTAAAGGGCCAGTATACCGGAATTCAATTATACGTCGTTCACTCGTGGTGCATGACATCCGCATCCACTGCGGGCGACGACATCGCAGACAAGTACGATTATGTGTGAGTTAGTTGTATTTTACGTCCGCTTCCAACGAGAAAATATTGCAGACAAGTGCGATTAAAATATGCATTCACATTTTATAGGTAAGTGGATGCGTGCTTGAGCGGCCTAGTGTAATGAGATTGATTGTGAGTTTGGACAAGGAGTTGGGTTAGCTGCCCAACCTCGTGTTTTTTCCATTAATACTCTGATTATCGGCCAATTGTAAAAACTATGGAAATAGAAATACAGTTTATGAAGTTCTTAAAATGACATGGTTGGTGTCGAGTTAGCATTAAACTAGCGTAAATAAGTAGAACTAGTATATATACATATATACATATTTTATTAACAAACGTATGTAAATACCGGGATATCAGGTAAACAATAAATAATACATTAATATACATAGGACAAATATTAAAATATTGTTTATATTAATCTCAAATGCTTATTATTAAACAATCTTAAAATTCATAATTACATAAATATTCATTATATAAGTCATAATTACTCAAATACTCATTATATAAGTCATAATTACTCAAATACTCATTATATAAGTCATAATTACTCAAATACCCATTATATAATCATAATTACTCAAATACTCATTATATAAGTCATAATTACTAAAATACCCATTATATAAGTCATACTTACTCACATTCTCTTTTTGTAAGCCATAATTACTCAAATACTTATTATATAAGTCATAATTACTCAAATATGCATTATATAAGTCATAATTACTAAAATATGTATTATATAAGTCGTACTTACTGAAATACCCATTATATAAGTCATAATTACTGAGCGCAACACACACATACACCCACACACACGCGTCACACACATTCATTAAACAAAGGTGGATTTTAAAAATAACAGACACACACCAGACGAAACATTGATCTCACACACTGATTATTAATATATCACACGCATTCATTTTCATATACACACATATTATTCTTTTATTCCCGTCTCATTCATGATTATTTTGATAGGTAGAAGGGAAATTATAAATTTGTGTTTAGCATGGACTACACGGTAATCCCGCAGTTGACAATCATTACGTCAGAGGCATTAATGTGTCATCTCCATGGTTACTATGTAGCTACCAAACCCAATCAACAGCATAGATGACCAAAAGGAGTGAATGAAAATAACTTACAAAAACATAATATGGAACACAATTACGTATGTCAATTGCTAAATGCCGCTCAAAGAAGATACATGTACTTCGTGGATTATTCTGTTTGGCGCCCAGGGTACTGAGGTATCCGACCAAAATTACTTGGAAAACTCAACAGTCTTTTCTTGATTAATACATAATACTTCCTAAACATGAAAATGACTAACAGATTTATTGATGCTTGTCCAGAAATAATTAAAATTAAAAACGGGTTTCATAATTTGTCCAGAACTATTCCCAATTTCTCTATCTAATCCTAAACCAAACCAATTGTCAAAGCAGGTACACCCCTGATTTCTGGAGCAAATGATTCGATTGTGTGGTAACTAAGTTGTGATGGCGAGTGTTTATACTTCCGGTTCCAGTGGGTTACTAGTACCCGGTCATTAAACTGTAGAGTCGTATAGCCTTATTATATTGTTAACATATACTGGTCTCTCACTTTACGCGATACAGAAATAAAACGCCCGTCTTCCCCACGAAATGATTTTCATAAACAGTTCTGTCGATCTTCTCCCAGATTCCTGCTTCCTCAAGTTTTTCCATCATTGGTTCCAATTTATTCTGATACTCTTCCACGTAGTTTAAATATTCCTCTCTCATTGCTATGGCAACGACGCCCCCTGAAATCATCAAAAACCAGTTACATATAATGTCAATCCAATTTTAAAATAAATGTCATTTTTATAAATGTAGCTTTAGCTTCCAAATCATCCGTTTAAAACCGAGTGCATGCGAGGGTGACAAGGAAGCTGTTGTCTAATTGTTGGGCTATAACTAAAAACCCAAGGTCCACACGTGTTCACACTGAAGTGAACTAAAAAGATCCCCTTGATAGCCGGAAGAATATGGAGGGTCTGGGCAGGCGTGAGCATATGTGCAGGCGCGACCACAGAAACAATTAAACGTATGTTCGTCTCAAACTGACAGAAGTATTCCTTTGTCAAACTATCACTTTATGCAACTATAAATAGCCAAACGTGTCGTTCTTATTAAATAATATTGACGCTGTTTGTTTTGGGTTTATTTTTCATTCTAAACACCACTGTATTTGATACGGCACACAGTCATCGAAATCCTGTTTAAGTAGATCACTTTATATTTGCTGTACGTAACTTACCTGGTTTAACTATACGTATCATCTCTAGAATACCTGTACAAGGTATATGACCTTCACCCATTCCACCAGATACAACAGAACAGTCATAGTAATCTAAACAAAACAAAACAACACTATAATCATAACCATCTGAACAAAACAAAACAATATTACAGACAATGATGAACACAACAAAACAACATTACAGTCATAATGACCTAAACAAAAACAAAACAACACTAGTTACAGTCCTAATAGTATGTCTGAACAAAACATACAGTCATAATTATCTCTATTTTGAAAATGTAATATGACTTAGCGTCCTACCGTTCTGCGCCGACTGGGCTAATGAAGATTGATATACGCCATGTTCTATGAGGGAAATTTCACCCTGACTGCGGCACTATGACCTACTCGTATATCGAACTCCAGCTGTCAGAAGCTAACATTACTAGATAACCTGACTTCCGTTTGATATATCAATAAGATAGAGGAATGGGGTCTAACTTCCACTCGACACAAACTAGGTCATTTCGGGACTAACATATGGTTCAATTTTATTTCAATAATTCGCTTGCGCGTTGGGTTCTTTAGCAGTGGAAGGAACGTGGAGGACCCGGAGAAAATCAAAGAGGTTGGACAGGCGACTCTACCTCTTGTCACGTACAACCGAGGAATCAAAACCACGTCAGTTGACTCAATGACAGACCTTATGATACAACGCGCACACGCTAACCATTCGCCACCCCCCCCCCCCCCCCCCGTTTTATATATCGAATTAAAAATTAATCTCAGTATCTACTCCATTCACTAATAGAGATGACACATCAGATCAATCCAATAAAAAATTGATTTCGACCAAAACCGATGAGAAGCTCTTGATATTTTATTAGCATATCTTACCATTTTCAATGATGTAATTTGTTCCACCAAGAATATCCAAAATGTGGTTCTGATAAATTCCTTTCGACCTGGCAATCTCAAGCATTCCTTCAGACGGTTCCAAGGCATCAATTTTCCTAAAGCCGATATCACGTAGCTAGAAAGAACAAATTAAACGGGTGTTCATTATACATGACGAAAATCTCCAACATCTAATTTTCCATCCAGGACCACTTTGTAGTCTTCGGCAATCCTCGGCACCATAAGTATTCTATCCAGGACCACTCGGTAGTCTTCGGAAGTCTTCCGTACCTTTCTTTTAACCTTTCGGTTATTCGTTATTAATAAGGTATGGATGGGTTGAATGAACCCGTGGATAGAAATTTATAACCAAATGAGGATTGTTATTGAATCACGAACGAAAATATGTTAACATTTTCCCGTCAGCGTTGATGAGAAGGTGTGTGGGTAGGTTTAGATCTATACGTCGGCGTGGATTGGAATGTCGGTGGGTAGGTTTGGTCTATCCGTCAGCGTGGATAGGGAGGTTGGTAGGTAGGTTTAGATCTATCCGGGAGTTATTCGTTTGGACACAACTGTATAAATTTTACGACGGGTCCCTCTGCCTAAGTTAAATGGAAAACACTAGATCGGAAACGGTCTAGCACATATGACGTCATATGTGGAAAAGTCTCCAGATGTAAACAGGGCCAGCGCTAAACCTTACCCTAACCCTAACCCACAATCCACATATGACGTCATTTGTACTAGACCGTTCTTCGCTTTAAATGCGGCCCAACGGTTTTACATTAAAACTGACTCTGACTTATCGAGGTCACCCAGAGTTTACCGACAGATAAACTCCAAGTTATACGTCATCAAAATCAATGAGTTATACGTCATCAAAATCAATGAGTTATACGTCATCAAAATCATTGAGTTTACTTGAGAAGGATCAGTCATACTGTGCATATTTAAAAATAGATTTACCTCTTCCCCGACGTAGCCTGTGCCAGCTGCGATATCCAATATCTTTACGTTTTCTCTATCAGTTGGGAATAATTTACCCACTGCCGTGGCAGCTTCTATCGGTCCATTATATGTTTCTCCTTTACTTAGATCCTGTGAAAAAAAATAATAAATGTCATAATCTGTGTGTCATGTCAATTTTGAAATGTTTCTAGCTTGCCACGGCTGGCATTTGTAGTTACTCTTCTAGTCCAGTCAATCTAGCTGAAGAAAGGGCCCAACCCAAAACAAATTGCAACAGAATTTCTTTTGGTGGTATGCATTTCAGCAAGCTCCCAAGTACATCATATTAAAAATGTTCCAATTTTTTTTGGGTGGAAAGAGGTCAAATTGCGTAACATGCTAATTAGCATAATTTCATGTTTCAAAAATTGACTTAATGCTTTAATTGGGCTATCGAATGTTAAAATTGGAGGATGGAACTCAAGCTAAATATGTGTTCCCCCTTGTCAGTGATGCAGGACGGAGGGCCTGACAAGGACAGCTGTCTAGTCCTTCGGATGAGGGGAAAAACCGAGGTCCCGTGTATACATTGGAATGCACGTAAAAGATCCCTTGGCGTATGCCCGTCTTCATTAGCCCAGGTTAGGAGCAGAACAGTAGGACGTCATTTTTGTATTCCAGCAAACGGGAGCACCCGGAGAAAAAGATTTAAAATCAACAACTCAAGGGACTATCATATTTATTCCAACAAACGAGAAAACCCATAGAATAGCCACGGGATTTATGATTAAAATAATAAATGTAAATATTTACCTTTTCGTATCCAAGACACCATGTTGAGTAATATTGTATACTCTCTGTTGAGCTGATTCCCTTTTTAAAAGCTCTGTAATTATTGTCGTAAGCTACTTGATATTCTGCTGCTAGTTCCATTTTATATTTCTGCTAAGTTTCTAACGTGTTTTCTATGGAAAAGAAACAAACGAAATAATCAACACTGTTGTCGTTAATACGAAGTAAATAATGTTGCAGAATAATGATTTCTCCCTGTTTTGTTTTGTGTTTACTCATTTGTTAAAAGATGGCCTCACTCAACATTTCAAAAATGTGTCGGCTGTGTTAGGGATTCGCTTATGACTGCGATATCACCCTGCATAGAAGTGGACGTTAATCTGTATAAAGTAGTTTTAACTTGTATTTAATACGCAAGGAATTTACTAACAGTTCACGTCACTCAATGAACGACCTTGCTACCCCTGACCTATATTGGTGACGTCACTCATTGAAAGCATTTGTTATCTCTGACCTATACTATCCTTGCGTCACTTAAACAATTTGCCTAATTTTAATAAGAATTACGCGGTAGACTGTGTTACCGTGGTCTATTCCACCGTATATTCGTGTCTTAAACACACGACAAATAATCCACAATAATTTATCGATTTTGTTTGTAATCCCCTAACCCGACATAAGACCTTTTCATAAGGCAAAATTTAGACATGCATACGTCATGTTAATCGCTCATTTGTGAACTTAAATATACGTAACATTGCTACGCGTTGCGAAACGGCCTCCTTGACGGTTAATCCGAAATTTAGTGAAGATTACCAGTTAAATCAAGCTCTAAATTCCAGTTTATGCTATGATCATATCTAACAGATTATTATATTTTGTTGACGTAATTCTACATATCAATAAACAAGCAATGGAATTCAAAGCAACATTTATCATGTTTATTCATTATTAAAAAAAATGGATATTTATACAGATATGTCATTACTTTAAACATCGGGAATTAAAACAAATGTGTTTGTGATATTTATTTTTGTTATTTTTTAAAGTAACGATCAGGAATTACATTTAATATTTTTTGTAAAGAAATGTCATTACCTCAAAAATCAGAACCTTGAGTATACCCCTAAACATGCATTATACAAGAGCTAAATCTGCCTATCGCATGTATGTCTTTCTTTGGGCCCGCAATGTAAGCTAGATTATTAATGTCTGACAAGACCATAATCAACTCTCGATGACATCGTTAGCCTGTGATATTTACTGGATTTGAACACTTTTTGTGATAGATATTTTAACGCAAAAATGGATAATCGAGACTTTGATTAGGGCGGGCATGAAACAGATCCAGACCATTAAAACGATCAAATTCCTTTGAACCAAATTTATCAGCAAATAAGGACGCGTCTAAACCCGATAAGTTTTGGCTTGTGACTGGGTCGATGGGGGGTCTTTACATAAATTCTAATAAATTTGTAATGTCAAACTAATGGGACTTATCATCATATCCAAATAAATCGTCGACAGATTTTTGATTTTGAGATGATGTGAAGTATATTGACGCCTGCTACATTTTGGGTTTTGGGTTGGTTTTTTTTTTTTTTGTTTTTTTTTGGTTTTTTGTTTTGGTTTTTTTTTGGTGGATATCCATTTACTTAAATTGCTTAAAAAGGAAAGTTTAAACATAATATTGTAGCGATAAATGAACCCTTTTCTGTCAAAATACCCTATTCCCTATTAATATTATTACGTCTAGAATTTTGGGATTAATCGATATTACAATTATTGATTTTATCGTATTATTAATGGTTTTTTTTATTTCTTTTTTTTTACATTAACTTAAACTTATAAGATCTGTTAATTATATTAATAGCTTAAATAATATCACAAAAGAATTGACTTGCTGAAATTCTAACATAAATATTTTAACTAATTATCTTATTTTAATGTAAACCCAATTCTTACATAAATATTTTAACTAATTATCTTTTTTAAATGTAAACCCAATTCAAACATAAATATTTTAACGTAAACACAATTCTAACATAAATATTATAACTGATTATTTTTTTTAATGCGGAACACGCTGTTAGCAAAGTAAACCCAGAGATGTCTTAGGGTAGCATTATTTACAGGTATGACCATCACATAAAAAAAAAACATATTAAAAATGTTACTTACCTTAAAATGAGGTAACAAAATTTTCTGAGAATAACGGTGAAATCTTGTTATATTTATATCAGTTTCAATATGATTGACAGGTCGTATGTAAAACCCACCTTTAACCCAGAGAGGCTCTCCGAGGTTTGCGTAATGTTTATTACAAGGTGAGCGTGGCAATCTGGGCTACTAAGTACAATTAGCTCTGACTATCAGATTATTGAGTACAATTGTTTGATCTGGGTAAATTCGGAAAGGTGTCTTTCGTATCCGTTGATTAATTTAAAAATAAAAACAAAGGAATGGGTTTCAACTTCTAGACCAATGGTTCTCAACCTTTTGTTTTGCCAGTGGCACACCTTGGAACACATGAAAAGATGACGGCACACTTGGTTAAATATATATGAAAAACATTTGAATTTTGCAAAGTAAAAACATGGCAAGTAGACAGAGAGCAGTCGTAGAAACATAGAATGTCTTAAACTAAATAAAGAAAAACATTATCAGCGAATACTCAATTGGGATTATTTGGGGTGCCTTTCAAAATTACCCGGTACACTTAGGAAGATTTCGGGGCACACCCTACTCAATATATAATTCCAACCGGCAATGATTCTACTGTATGTACTCGCCATTCATTATACGAGTGCACCTCGATTTATTTGTCCGATCTTCTCAGACACACAGGCAGCATCCCTGACAGGGGGGAGGGGGGCGTGGTTTGAAAATTCCTAACTTTACATTCTTGTCGATAGTCCACTGGTCGACTACATCCCACGTCCCTCCCAAAAGAGAACAAGTATAACATAACTAGTGGATCATTAATACATACATACACTTTAACATACTCGTTTTATCGTCTATCTTGATCTTCGATATTTGCCGATACCATCTTTTTTATATATGGTTAGTGCTGCCAAGCTTTGTTGTGCATTGTGCTATTTGGTATAATAATGTCTATGTGTGGTGTCTGTGTGTCTGAAATAAGTGCGCCTGTATAGAATATGTCTTTGTGGTTTTTTCCTAGAATGTTTATTATGTTGTGTCTTTGTCTTTCCCGAAACTATTTGCGCCTGATAATATGTTATGTATGTTTCTCTACTATATTTCGCCTGGACAGAATATGTTTATATGTTGTGCCTTTGTGTTTCCCTGCCAAATACGTTTTCGACGTTATAATACGGTTATGTAGTGAGAAAAAACACTTATGCCCGAGAACTAAGACGTCGGTCGTCTGTGAGAGTCATTGTATAGAACAATTTTGAGAAACGTATCGGAGGTAAAGGGAGACAACTCCTTCCAAAATGGATGCCATTGAACTGTCATTATTTTAACATGTTTGACACCGTGAGTGGTAATGCGTGTAACCAGTTCTTAATGAACGTTTGTTATAACACGGGAGTCACAGTGGCTAAGTGGGTAAGGCGTTGGCTCGCTATCCTGGAGGTCGGGTGTTCGATCCCTGCATTGACCGAGAAAGTTCATCGGAATTTTCCGACGTGGTTTCCGCTTGGTGCAGGATGGAGCGCCTGACAAGGACAGCTGTCTAGTCGTTCGGGTGGGACAAAAAACCGAGGCCCCGTTTATACATTGGCAGTCACGTAAAAGATCCCTTGGCAGTTGGAATTCGATATAAGAGTAGGCCATAGTGCCACTGCACACTGTATGGCGCATGTCCATCTTCATTAGCCAAGTTGGAGCAGAACATTAGGACGTTAAACCCCATTTCATTTCATTTGTGTTATAAACACTCGTAACTTCATAAAACCAATTGTATACTTATAGAAATCGTGTTTCAATTTAATTGTTCGAAATATCTATATAACCTAATATTGATTATGCTGCTTCATAAAATTATAATGCTATACCGTGTTATTGTTATGGGTATGTATATAACGATAAGAATGACAGTTATGTCCAGGATGTGACCATTTACGGCTTTACCAATGGGATCCTGGGTTGTTTTTAGCCAGCTTTTAGGCAACAATTTTATTGCCAATTCAAATGACAACCAATACGAGAGCCAAGGCGACAATAGCGCAATAAAGTTAAAGAATCACTGTTATATTATGCAGCTGTAGAATATATTTTAAATGGTGTATGGTATTTGGAATATTATTCTATCATTTATCGGGGGGGGGGCGAATGGTTAGCACGTGCGTGCTGTATCATAAGGTCTGTCATTGAGTCAACTGGCGTGGTTTCGATTCCCCGATTGTACGTGAGAAGGCATAGGGTCGCCTGTCCAACCTCGTGGGTTTTCTCCGGGTCCTTTACTTTCCTCCCCACTGCTAAAACCCCTACGCGCAAGCGACTTATTGAAATAATGTTAGTCTCTCTCTCTCTCTCTCTCTCTCTCTCTCTCTCATATGTTATATTATATTTTGTAGAGCTACAAACAAATTGCAGAGCTGGTTAAGCTATAAGCTATTTTATTGTTCAAATTTTGTTGAGATGGATCATGTTGTGCCGAGCTGTATCAAAATTTATCGAGCAAGGTCATATTTTGTCGAGTTGGATCATATTTTGTCGAGTTGGATCATATTTTGACGAGCTAGATCTATTTTTGTCGAGTTGGATCATATTTTGTCGATTTGGATTATTTTCGTCGGGTTGGAACATATTTTGTCGAGTTGGGTCTTATTTTGTGGTGCTATATCATATTTTGACAAGTGTGAATATATTGTGTCGATTTGTATTATATTTTGTTGGGTTGGATCATATTTTGTCGAGTTGGTTATATTTTGTTCGGTTGGATCATTGTTTTGTCGAGTTGGATCATATTTTGTGGCGCTATATTATATTTTGTACTAGTGGGATTATATTTGGTCGAGTTGGATCATATTTTGTCGAGTTGGATCATATTTTGTCGAGCTAGATCATTTTTTGTCGAGTTGGATTATATTTTGTCGAGTTGGATCATATTTTATTGATTTGGGCCATTTGGATTATATTTTGTCCAGTTGGATCATATTTTGTCCCGCTATATCGTATTTTATCGTGTGGGATTATATTTTGTTGGGTTGGGTTGTATTTTGTGACAATATATCATATTTTGTCGGGTTGGGTTGTATTTTGTGACAATATATCATATTTTGTCGAGTTGAGTTATATTTTGTGACAATATATCATATTTTGTCGAGTTTGATCATATTTTTGTAGAACAAAATAATATTTTGTACAGCTGGTTCAAAAATGTGTAGAGCTGGTTCAAAATGTTGTCGAGCTGGAACTAGATCATGGTGCTTACAAATGCTCTTTTTTTTATTGAAAACACAAGGGTAAATATTGCTTGTGTACACAACCTGGAATTTTCTTGTCTTTTGCTTTAGAATACCACGGACCATCATAATTTGGACGCAGTGACGGACTTTGTCTGTGGCATTAGCTCTGATGGTGCTAAAATCAAAATTTATATACATCAACTATAGATTAACATAAGTTAACAGAATTCTTTAAAATGTGATTTTAAGCTACAATCGTTTTTTTAAGAGATTGTGATTCTAAAAATAAATAATATTCTATAACTGCAGTCAACCCTGTTGGAGCCCCTTATGAATTTTTAATACGATAATGAAAGGTAGATTGATCCTAGATAAAACAACAATGCCGTAAACTCTAAAACCATAAACACACATTTTATTTTAAAGAAGACTGGCATAGGCCATACAGTGTGCTATGAGGGAAATTTTGCCCAGACAGCGGCACCAAGGTCTACTCTTATATCGAATTCCAACTGTCAAGGGATCTTTTACGTGCACGCCAATATGTACACGGGACCTCGGTTTTTCGTCCCATCCGAACGACTAGACAGCTGTCTGTAATAAATGACAATAATTATTTTTAAGAATTACAAAATTTATCTAATAAAACACAAAATAGTACGAACGGATTTCTAAAACGAGTAGAGATACATATTTATATCATTTTGAACAAAATACAAACGAAAAATAATCTAATTGTTAGCTATATGAACTCCTGGTATCAGACGTGGTATCGGATGTTCTAGAAAGGGTACACATGCCCTGTCACGTGCACAATTTCCTCATTAATTAAGGAAATAACTTGGACCCGGATTTCAGATGCCGGAACTAATTAAAACTATATGCTGTTCAGATTGAAATTTGGGTTGTGCATTTTGTTAGAATCCTGGTGGAAGTCATCCTGATTGATGAAAACAGAGTGTCCTGCCTGAACATGACTTGTGGTGTATAAGTTACACCTAAAAATTAAGAAACGAAAGATTCAAAAGTTGTATCAGTGTAACGTTAAATAAGGCCTTAATATACCGACGTTATATCAGTATAACATTAAATAAGGCCTTAATATACACACGTTATATAAGGCCTTTATGTGTCGACGTTATATCGACGTAACGTTAGATAAAACCTTAATGTTAACACGTTATATCAATGTAACGTTATATAAGGCCTTAATGTACAAACGCCATATCAACGTAGCGTTAAATAAGGCCTTAAAGTACCGACGTGTAGCATTAAAAAAAAGGTTATAATGTTCAAACGTTATATCAGTGTATGGTTATATGAAGTCCATAATGTACAACTGTAAAATATAACAGTATAAAATAATAATAGTAACCAACTTTATAAATTCTGTAATTCATCAGTAACATGATCGAAATACACTGCATTGTACCATTACCCTGGTTACCATAATGCAAACATCATAACGTCAAAACTACAAACATTGATAGCTTGGCTCAGAATGAAGTAATTTAAATGAAATTTTCATTTTACATTACCTATTTTTGAGCTATTATAGCAAGAATGGCCGGCCCTTTACCTAAATCTTACATAACGTATCTTTAAGTTTCGTTTTATTCTTAAATTCTAAACTTGCTAGCTGATGACAAAATGCCAGCAGTGTTATGGTTAAAACAAGCTACCCTATATTATCCAAATCGAAACTTTTATTTGACACTGAAATATGCTTTTTTTATTTGGTTTGTTTGAATTGTTTATATCGCCATTTGACTTAAAATTACAGAATATTACACCCTAAATATGTAAGATATTCGGTGATTTTTACAGAAATTCGAAGAAAAATCCGATCTAAAAAACGAAAATGTCAATTCTTCTTCGGTGAATATTACTGAAATTCGAAGAAAAATTAGATCTAAAAAACGAAAATGCCAATTCTTCGATGATTATTATAAAAATTCGAAGGAATATTATACACAATGTATCAAATTACACGAGTTTACGGTTTTCTCGTGACGTAATAAACCTGACCCTGGCTACTCTTTTTGTTTACTAATGCACTGGTATCTTTACTGAACTAAGTTGAATAATTCTGGTTAACTCTAGTCTTAACTAGATCTTATCAAATGTTTAATCTAAAATTACATATAATGGTCTAACCGAATTTATTTACATATAAACCAGTATTTACTTGTTCTGGATCGTTAATGTGTGCACCCCTCGACCCATCAATTACCCATTATACCACTGGTTAGGAATTTCAGACAGATTTCTGACGGAATAAATAATTTACGACCCCTATATCGACCCAACCCCTTTCTGCAGACTACCACATTTCGTTGCGGTGTTGGAATCAACTGTTTAATTTTTTTTTTTTTTTTTTTTTGAATAATCCAAAGAATCATTATAATCAGATTTGTCCGTCAGATAATTACACCGCAAGCTGTTTTTAAACCATTTCAAGATAAACGACTTCAATGATAACCGACTGACACGTTTGCTAAGTCATTCATAATACAATGTATAGGTATTGATATTTCTTGCCATTTAAAATCACAACTTGCCATAAAAATAATAAACCTTTTGATCTATAGTATTTATTCCAAATGTGATGCCATAGCGGATGGCTATTTGAAATACACACTAATCGAGACTACTGTTCGCGACTAGAGTGGACCTATTTGTATAAGTACTAAACATCTTTTCAAATTAGGACGAATATCCCTTAAATTTTGTATTCATTATTGGTGTTGCAGTGTCCTTATGATTTTCTCTCGGTAAGTAAAGAAATATCCCTATTCCACCCTATTTGTATAAATACAAAAATACACTATTAGCTACTTGAATAGAGGGGGTTGGATGGACGAATGGGTCAACTGGCGTGGTTTCGATTCCCCGGTTGTACGTGACAAGGACTAGGGTCGCGCGTCCAACCTCGTGGGTTTTATTGAAATAAAATTAAACCATATGTTAATCCCGAAATGACCTAGTTTGTGTCGAGTGGACGTTAAACACCATTTTTCTCTCTCTCTCGCTAAAGAAAACTACGCGCAAACGAATTATAGAAATAAAATTGAAACATGTGTTAGTCCCGAAATGAACTAGTTTGTTTCGATTGGCGTTAAACTCTAATTCTCTCTCCCGTTTTCCCGATACACGAATTAACTACATATGAAGTGGTATCGGATGTTTTAGGAACCGTAAACTAGTTAATACCCCGCTTAGTTAATATCTCTATACGATTTAATATATCTAGAAGTCTGTAAGGACGTGTTTGATTGAATTTGCTCCTTTGATTTTTATCATTCTGGTCCAGCCCCCAATTATTGACTACATGAATGTAATGAATGCGGTTTTAAAAACATATCAAGCGTCATTTCTTGAATTTCAGTGAAGTAATCGAGATCCCAATACTGTTCAATCAAACACGCCCCTTGGTAAACGTTCAACTGTGTGGTCTATAAACCAAGAGACAGATAGCGTATCGCGCTCAATTTATATACCCGACAGTGAACCAGAAAATAACCAATCAAATACTGGGAGATTGAAACGTCATACATCAGATAAGAAATAAAATGGGTACAGTCCATTTGTGAAGTTATTATTAAGCTAAGTTTCGTCTCTTTCTGTTGGGTATCAATGCGTGTTTTAAGTTCTACCGATCATTGTGGAAATCTTACAATGGTAGCGACGTCATTTCGATTATCAATAAGTAAAATTTTAAAGTTCGTTGGTCTTACTACGGGATTTTCCAACGTTGTTTCCTTTTGTCAGTGGTGCAGGCCGGAGGTCCTGACAAGGACAGCTGCCTAGTCATTCGGATGGGAAGAAAAACGAGGTCCTGTGTATACGTTGGCATGCTCGTATAAGATCCCTTGGCAGTTGGAAGTCGATATAAGAGCACGCCACAGTGCCGCTGCCCGGGCAAAATTTCCCTCGTAGCCCTATAGCCCTAGGCCCTATTGCTGCACACTGTACGGAGTAAACCCGTCTTCATTAGCCAAGTCGGGGCAAAACAGTAGGACGTTAAACCCCATTTCATTCCATTTGCCTTACTACGTTACATCATGAATATAATTGTCTCTTGTACTCATCACCAGCGCCTACTGTTAGACATTTCTCAACAAATATTCTTCATATATCATTTAAAGATACATTATGTAAATTATGTAAGATACATAAATCGCCATGCATAAGGGGGGGGGGAGAGAAAGACTAAAAACAACTTTCGCCCTAGGAATATTTGGCGAGCTGTGTCCATATAATATAGTGATTGTCATCCATAGAACTGTGTTATATTGCTAAATGCCATTTAATGATTGCTGGGGAGTTGCTCTTCTTTACCTGTATGAATTGTTGTATCCAGGGGAATTATTTTGCCCGAATAGTTTACATTTAAAATGGAGAAGGGTAGAATGAAAGAGCCGAAATATTGTGTATACCACGGAAGCACTCTTATGATCCACTGGCAGTAGACCCCAACACACAGTATGGCGTATGTCCGTCTTCGTGCGCCCGGTTGGTGCAGAGAGGTTAAATCCCATCTTATTTTTATTTATTTTGTTGTATGATGCTTTCGAGAGAAAACTGAATCTCAACAGGAAAAAAAACCCAACATTTATTTCATTATTGGTACAAAGAATATTTTCTTTATTTACTGATGTACATGGATATTAATTGTTTTGCTTGTCTTATCCAAAGTGAAGGTCTTCGTCTGATCAGAAATCAGATGACTTTTGTATGTAACCTTGACCTCGTAATCACCATGGAAACCACGAACAGTGAACTGATTTCCGGCTGTAGACAGCTTCCTGGATTCTTTTGTCATCCATTGATTTTCAAACAGATCAAGCACTCTTCGACCAGCAGCTGTTAACTGTAATACGATAATATGGTGATTGCAATTAGAATAATCAACTATTAGTCTTTAACGGATTCCTTTCAAACTTGGCGAGAAGCATTGGAATGAATGAAATCGACTCCGACCGGGATATATTGCGCAAACCATATGGTGAAATATACGGTAATATTTCGATAATACGCCTGAGATGGGGTATATTTTAGAAAGAGGGAGAGAGGGAGAGAGAGAGAAAGGGAGGGGGGGGGCTATTGTCCACTCGACACAAACTTGGTTATTTTTTGTCAAACATATGGTGTAGTTTTATTTTAATAATTCGCTTGCGCGCAGGAGTCTTTAGCACTGGGAGGAAATCGAAAGACCTGGAGAAAATCCACGGGGTTGGACAGGGGACCCTACCCTTGTCACGTACAAGCGGCGAGAAATTAAGACAGCAAAGCCTGATCAGTGCAAAATGACGGGAAATAATCACTCCAAGTTTCTGGGTTAACTCTTCCTTCGACCTGCATGAGGTCTGAGTATAATTTCATAAACGTCGGAGCGCCGATTGTGTATTACTGGTAAATGATAATAACTTACCGTGACGTCATTTCCTACGACTAAAGCACCGCGATCTTTCCTCCAATGGGCTTGATCCCAGAATCCCCAGAAAATGACACCTTCAACAGAGGGATGACCATACATGACCCTTAGAATAGTTTCATACCAATCAGCTCTGAGGTTTTCATCATGTGTCCCAACGTCAAGTTCTGTCACCCAAATTGGTAATCCGGCTTTGGCCAAGGTATTAAGATTCTCCTACAATTGTAACAAAAGTTGTAACTGTAACCGAATACAAAATGAAAATACGTGCCATGGGAAGCAACTCTCCCGCTTCTATTCATGGACTCCGACTATTAATCATTTACCCAGTGCCCTGTCTATGTACAAGCTTGGGTCGGAAACTTCGCCACTTGACTTAATGACAGACCTTGTGATCTAAAGCGCACGCGTTAGACATCTCGACCAACCAATAATCCCAATCTGATTAAAACACAGATCTTATTTCGTTTCGTTTCTTTATAGTTCAAAATTTCGTTTTGTCTTCACAACACTTGGATCTGGAAGAGTTGTTGTATAACAGGTGTTCTAGTTGATGTGAGGAATTAGCCAATGAAACGGTCTGTTACGGCGAGTTCTTGGCATGCTCTGCACGAAACTGTGGGTAAACCCCTAGAAACCTCAACGCTGATTGATTAATCAATGTCTGACGTCATAGGGTCGAAAGCCGCTCGTATAACCACTGACGCCACCGCCCAGTACAACTGGTCAGATCTTTATGTAGTGTAGGCCATCGAAAGTATAAAAAAACGAAACGAAATATAGATCTATATTTTAATCTGATTGCAACCATCCATACCCATTGTCAATGCCCATGTCATCTTCTATTATGTGCTTCAATAAAACGAATGTTTCTGTATCTATCTAATTTAAGTATGTATTGTTATTATTATGTTTCGAAACACGTGATACCATGTCTCTATGGAACATTCCATGTTGGAGAGAGAGAGAGAGAGAGAGAGAGAGAGAAATTGGGTTTAAGGTCCACTCGACACAAACTAGGTCATTTCGGGACTAACATTTAGTTCAATTTTATTTCAATAATTCCCTGGCCTATGGGGTCTTTAGCAGTGGGAGGAAACCGGAGGACCCGGAGAAAACCCACGAAGTTGGACAAGCGAGCCTACTCCTTGTCACGTACACCCAGGGAATCGAAACCATGCCATTTGACTAAATGACAGAGCTTAGGATACAACGCGCATGCGGTAACCATTCCATTCGGCCACCCAACCCCCCATTAGTACAAGGCTAATATAACAAATAAATGAATACCTTTAAGACAGTTGGATTAGGTGCCACGTTCTCTACAAAATGACACTGGACACCTAAACCATACAGATGTACATTGGCTTTCTTAAACTCCAGGGCTTGTTCTAGATAGGGCTGAAATAAACAAATGAATTGGTTTAACGTATTACCTTGCTAGATTAATGAGCTAATGAAATTTTGGCCGGACAGCGGCGTTACGGCCTCCTTTTATATCGAATTCCAACTGTCAATGGATCTTTTATGTGCACGTCAATGTGTATACGGGCCTCGGGTTTTCGTCCCATCCGCAGGACTAGACAGATGTCCATGTCACACCCTCCATACTGCACCCGATGAACTTTCTCGGCCAACACCGGGATCGAACCCGCAACCTCCAGCTTAGTGATCAGCGTCTTACTGACTTAGTCACCGCGGTTCTCCAACCATTCGGCCACCGGGTAGAACTGAATGCTTAATAAACAATCTCGAACGTTCAGTGGTGATCCCTACCCGTTGCGCCACATCCCTTCTGGTTCAAAAACTGTTATCTTAGTTATATAATATATTTAGTAAGTAAATCCATATTTTTCAAACGCTACTTTATTACTATACTGTTCTTTTAAGTTTACTTAATGCCATTATGCTTGGATAATGATAAGTTGATACTTATTGAAACTTCGTGCTTGTGATTGTTTTCCATAATAAAGGTGTTTATCAATTACTAAATGTCACTTCAAGGTTATACCAATCTGATTAAAACACAGATCCTATTTCGTTTCGTGTTTTATAGTTGAAAATGTCGTTTTACTTGTCCTTACTACAATAGGATCTGGAAGAGTTGTTATATAACCCGCGTCGATGTGAAGGATTAGCCAATGAAACGGTCTGTTACGGCGAGTTTTTGGCGTGAGGTGCACGGAACTATGGGTAACCTATGGCGTCATATGGCCAAAGGCCGTTCGTGTGGCCCCTGACGCGACCTTCCACTACATCCGGTCAGACTGTAGAGGCCATCGAAAGTATAAAAATACGAAACGAAATATAGATTTGTATTTTAATCAGATTGGGGTTATACTTACAGCTGTGGAACTGGCCTGGGCAACCACTCCATAATCATTGAGAAATAATTTAACATTAGGGTCTACCTGATGGGCCCAGGTAAACATCTGATGGCTAAAATTTGGATCATTTAATTTATCTTGAAACCAGAAACCATGGAGATTTTCATTGTTTACATCCCAATGTTCTACTCTGTAAAAAACAATTTAAATATACTATAAGCAGTTGGGTGGGGAGGGGGCGTGAAATCACAAGGACTGTCATTGTTTGCATCCCAGTGTTCTACTCTGTAAGAATAATTTCAATTGACAGGTAGACTATAAGTGGTGGAGGGGCGTGAAACCACAAGGTATGTCATTGAGTCATGTGTCGTGGTTTGGATTCCCCGCTTGACTGTGACAAGAAGTAGGGTCGCCTGTCGAACCTCGTGAGTTTTCTCCGGGTCCTCGAGTTTTCTCCCACTGCTAAAAACCCCTGTGCGTAAGTGAATTATTGAAACAAAATTTAACCATATGTTAGTCCCGAAATGACCTAGTCTAGTTGGACGTTATGGCTAATGGTAAGGTGTCATTACTCCACTTGGAACATTTCATACCACGTCTCATTTATTAACGGCGTGTACATACCGGACACACCTTATTCTTTCTTAGGTCAGTTCGAGACGAATGGTCTAACCCGTGGGCGTTAGATCATAAGGTCATTTATTGAGTCACGTGGCGAGGCCTGGTCTGGGGCTTGTAGTCACAATGGTACGTTTTCTCTGGATCTCCCGGGTTCTCCCTATAGCGAAAGACCCATAAGTGCAAGCTTGAAACTCGGCTAGGGTATCAGCTGCTGATCGACTAATGTGAGTGCGCAGTCAAGTTATAGCAAGGCGTGGCACGAATAATTGAATTTGAGTGACGTCGCGATGAACCTATCGGTATGCTTTTTCTACTCTTTTCAGATAGGACGCATGTAAAAGAATTTCTGACAGTTGGAATTCGATATAAGAGTAGGCTGTAGGGCCGCTGTCCTGGCAAGATTTACCTCAAACCACACTGAATGGCGTAAGACCGTCTTCATTAGCCTAATCGGAGCAGAACAGTAGAACGTTAAACCCCATTTCATTTCATTTCATGGCATCGGGATGTGCATGAGGTGTAGAATTATCTGGGCACGTGTCTTCGTCCTTGACCCCTTGAAAGCATGGACACCGGTGTCAATTGTTCTATCAACATAATTTATGTCCCAAGAATGGCAAAACATATTCTCAAACAAATTCAAATATGTTATATATTTACTTACAACCCTTTGGTTTTGGATACAATATTTATAAACCTCTGGTGTACGGTTTGTCTTAGTGTACTTCCTGACATAGTTCGCACCCACGTGGGTACGTATTGTCCTTTAGCCCAAACAATATTATGCGCTCTCATCATTGAGTCATGTGTCGTGGTTTGGATTCCCCGCTTGACTGTGACAAGAAGTAGGGTCGCCTGTCGAACCTCGTGAGTTTTCTCCGGGTCCTCGAGTTTTCTCCCACTGCTAAAAACCCCTGTGCGTAAGTGAATTATTGAAACAAAATTTAACCATATGTTAGTCCCGAAATGACCTAGTCTAGTTGGACGTTATGGCTAATGGTAAGGTGTCATTACTCCACTTGGAACATTTCATACCACGTCTCATTTATTAACGGCGTGTACATACCGGACACACCTTATTCTTTCTTAGGTCAGTTCGAGACGAATGGTCTAACCCGTGGGCGTTAGATCATAAGGTCATTTATTGAGTCACGTGGCGAGGCCTGGTCTGGGGCTTGTAGTCACAATGGTACGTTTTCTCTGGATCTCCCGGGTTCTCCCTATAGCGAAAGACCCATAAGTGCAAGCTTGAAACTCGGCTAGGGTATCAGCTGCTGATCGACTAATGTGAGTGCGCAGTCAAGTTATAGCAAGGCGTGGCACGAATAATTGAATTTGAGTGACGTCGCGATGAACCTATCGGTATGCTTTTTCTACTCTTTTCAGATAGGACGCATGTAAAAGAATTTCTGACAGTTGGAATTCGATATAAGAGTAGGCTGTAGGGCCGCTGTCCTGGCAAGATTTACCTCAAACCACACTGAATGGCGTAAGACCGTCTTCATTAGCCTAATCGGAGCAGAACAGTAGAACGTTAAACCCCATTTCATTTCATTTCATGGCATCGGGATGTGCATGAGGTGTAGAATTATCTGGGCACGTGTCTTCGTCCTTGACCCCTTGAAAGCATGGACACCGGTGTCAATTGTTCTATCAACATAATTTATGTCCCAAGAATGGCAAAACATATTCTCAAACAAATTCAAATATGTTATATATTTACTTACAACCCTTTGGTTTTGGATACAATATTTATAAACCTCTGGTGTACGGTTTGTCTTAGTGTACTTCCTGACATAGTTCGCACCCACGTGGGTACGTATTGTCCTTTAGCCCAAACAATATTATGCGCTCTCATCTTTATTCTGTAATAAAAACAATTTTTGTTAAGTTTAATAATGATTTAGTATAATCGGGCTCAAGGAGTGTAGGATAGCCGACACATCACTCTGGGTTCATGAAGCCGATATTCATGCTATAGAGTCCCCGGATCGAATCCCCGATGCCCTACCCAAGCTATGCATGGGTAAAGTTAGAAACACTATCTTTGTGTATGGTCTTAATATCCTTGCACAGGGACAATATTTGTATGTAATTGGAACAATATGTTATCGGAACAATACTTCTATTTAATCGGAACAATACTTCTATGTAATAGGAACAGTATTTCTATGTAATTGGAACAATATTTCTATTAAATTGGAACAATATTTCTATTAAATTGGAACAATATTTCTACGTATTAGGAACAACTGTAGCTTTGTAACTTGGACATCTGTGATAATATAAAAAATTTATTTGAACAATATCAATGTACACATATGTAGAGTTTTAACAGAATGACAATAAAAGTGGTAGATAAAATGCTAGAAATCAAATCAAACACTCACATGTTTTAAATCAAAACAAGATCTTAAACCTATCTTTTGAGAAATTGTATCCAGATTAATAAAACTATTTGACTGTATGCGGTTTGAGCAAACCTCGGTGGGAGGTATAACAGCGCTATATAAATGTACATATTATTATTTTTATATATTTGATTGCTAAAACCCGTCTGTGTATAAAACACATTTATCCAAATAAATAAAAACAATTTAACTGTATGAATTGTGAGCAAGCCCCGGGGCGAGTAATAACAACGCTTTATAAATGTACATATTATTATTATTATTATTGTATATTAAATTGGTTGCTAAACCGGGTGTTCGATCCCTGCATTGGCCGAGAAAGTTCATCCAGTTTTTCCGGCGTGTTCCCCCTTATCAGTGATGCAGGACGGGGGGCCTGACAAAGACAGCTGTCTAGTCTTTCGGGTGAGACGGAAAATCCGGGTCCCGTGTATACATTGGAATGCACGTAAAAGATCCCTTGGCAGTTCGAATTCGATATAAGAGTAGGCGATAGTGCCGCTGCCCGGGCAAAATTTCCCTCATAGCACACTGTATGGCGTATGCCCGTCTTCATAAGCCCAGTGTAGTAGCAGAACAGTAGGACGTTAAACCCCATTTCATTTCATTTTTTTGATTGCTAAACCGACTATGTATGAAAGTGTGGCCTTCAAATTCGACAAACTGTAAAGCTATGTCATTAATTTGTGTATAATATTTATAGATATGGAATTGGTCCGAAATTGGCCGTTTACAAACAAACCTCGCCCGTAACAAAGTGACAAACGGTCGAATATTCTTAGTGCCACAAAGCACTAGTTCCTCTTGTTTATTATACAGAGTTCCCCCAATAAAAGGTTGTCCCAACTAAAACCCTCAATACTGTGGTTACGATTACAGATACATTATGGGAGATTAGATAAAGAACTGATAGTTCTCACTATACGCCCACATTTTCGAGAGATGGAGAGAAAAAAAAGCTAAAACGAAAATAATTTTTCCTACAATCAAGGTCCATAATTCAGGAAATTACAATTCAATATGCGCAAATATCGACAGGAACCAAGATCTTTGAGTTATAAACTTACATTTCAAGTTTCAACAAAATCGGATAAAAATTGTGACCTCTATAGGGTCCACAACCTTGATATACCATCTTTTTACGCAATTTGAGAACGAGGGGCGGCCATTTTGTCTGTCAGTTTTGGGCCAATTTTCACTAAATTCGAACTCAGTCGTCCTTAGGGTGTAACGGTGATATAATAATACGTTTTTTTAAATCGGATAAAAATTATGACCTCTATGGGGTCCACAAGCTAAAAACGCGATTTTTCGTACAATCAGGGGCCATAATTCAGTAAGTTACGGTCCGATATGCGCGAATATCGAAAGGAACCAAGATCTGTAGGTTATAAACTTACATTTCAAGTTTCAACAAAATCGGATAAAAATTGTAACCTCTATAGGGTCCACAACCTTGATATACCATCTTTTTACGCAATTTGAGAACGAGGGGCGGCCATTTTGTCTGTCAGTTTTGGGCCAATTTTCACTAAATTCGAACTCAGTCGTCCTTAGGGTGTAACGGTGATATAATAATACGTTTTTTTAAATCGGATAAAAATTATGACCTCTATAGGGTCCACAAGCTAAAAACGTGATTTTTCGTACAATCAGGGGCCATCATCCATGAAATTATGTTCCGATATGCGCGAATATTGAAAGGAACCGAGATCTTTGTGTTATAAACTTACATTTCAAGTTTCAACAAAATCGGATAAAAATTGTAACCTCTATAGGGTCCACAACCTTGATATACCATATTTTTACGCTATTTGAGAACGAAGGGCGGCCATTTTATCTGTCAGTTTTTGGCCGATTTTCACGAAATTCGAACTCAGTCGTCCTTAGGGTGTAACGGTGATATTATAATATGATTTTTTAAATCGGATAAAAATTATGACCTCTATAGGGTCCACAAGACAAAAAACGCGTTTTTGCGTACAATCAGGGGCCATAATTCAGGAAGTTGCGGTCTGATATGCGCAAATATCGAAAGGAACCGAGATCTTTGGGTTATAAACTTACATTTCAAGTTTCAACAAAATCGGATAAAAATTGTGACCTCTATAGGGTCCACAACCTTGATATACCATATTTTTACGCTATTTGAGAACGAACGGCGGCCATTTTGTCTGTCAGTTTTGGGCCGATTTTCACGAAATTTGAACTCAACCGTCCTTAGGGTTTAACGGTGATATAATAATACGTTTTTTTAAATCGGATAAAAATTATGACCTCTATAGGGTCCACAAGACAAAAAACGCGTTTTTGCGTACAATCAGGGGCCATAATTCAGGAAGTTGCGGTCTGATATGCGCAAATATCGAAAGGAACCGAGATCTTTGGGTTATAAACTTACATTTCAAGTTTCAACAAAATCGGATAAAAATTGTGACCTCTATAGGGTCCACAACCTTGATATACCATATTTTTACGCTATTTGAGAACGAACGGCGGCCATTTTGTCTGTCAGTTTTGGGCCGATTTTCACGAAATTCGAACTCAACCGTCCTTAGGGTTTAACGGTGATATAATAATACGTTTTTTTAAATCGGATAAAAATTATGACCCTATAGGGTCCACAAGACAAAAAACGCGTTTTTGCGTACAATCAGGGGCCATAATTCAGGAAGTTGCGGTCTGATATGCGCAAATATCGAAAGGAACCGAGATCTTTGGGTTATAAACTTACATTTCAAGTTTCAACAAAATCGGATAAAAATTGTGACCTCTATAGGGTCCACAACCTTGATATACCATATTTTTACGCTATTTGAGAAAGAACGGCGGCCATTTTGTCTGTCAGTTTTGGGCCGATTTTCACGAAATTCGAACTCAACCGTCCTTAGGGTTTAACGGTGATATAATACTACGGTTTTTTAAATCGGATAAAATTATGACCTCTATAGGGGCCACAAGCAAAAAAAAGCGTTTTTGCGTACAATCAGGGGCCATAATTCAGGAAGCTACGGTCCGATATGCGCGAATATCGAAAGGAACCGGGATCTTTGGGTTATAAACTTACATTTCAAGTTTCAACAAAATCGGATAAAAATTGTGACCTCTACAGTGTTCACAAGCCAAAAACGCGATTTTTCGTACAATCAGGGGCCATAATCCATGAAGTTATGGTTCGATAGATGCCAATATCGAAAGGAACCAAGATCTTAGGGTGATAAACCTATATTTCAAGTTTCATTGAAATCGGATAAAAATTGTGACCTGTCGACTGTTCACAAACAATTGTGGACGGACGGACGGACGGACGAACAGGGGCGACGACAATATACGTCCACATGAAAATTTGGGCGTATAAAAACTAGATAATGTAAAGTCAATTTTCTGAAAATTTCAGTCAAATTGATCCACCCTGAACCGAGTATTTAGCGATTGAATTTTGTGCATATCATTGCTAAAGTCGGTAGGATAAAAAAAAAACAGTCTCGATTATCCATTTTTTTTAAAATCAGAAGCAGGAGCCCGGGTTATTAATCCAGTAAATATCGCAGGCTAGTAATGTCTAATTAATAATTTAGATAACATTTCGGGCCTAAAGAAAGACCTGAAAGAGGCAGATTTAGCTCTTGCATAATGTATGTTTAACCTCTCCTATTCTTATCTAGGGTTCTTTATTAATACGCTAAACCATTTGACACCTCCATTGAAAGATGTGTACGGGAAATTTATTGAGATGACTTAAAATCATGAATATTTACCCATGATTCCTCAATGTTTTAATTGTGTTGATGGGTGTGGCATAATCAGCTGCGCCCTAAAACCAAAACCATATACTTAATACAAAAACAATATACCCAAGATTAATGAATAGTTGTAGGATAAAGCACAAGGCTGGGGTTATGCTGGGGAAAGAAAGACTGAAGACAATAACCCGAGAAAAAGAAACACCGAGACCGTTCGTCCGAGGTCTTTCAGTCGAGGTTTTTTTCTGAAGTCTTTCTTCCCCAGCATAACCGAAGTCGAGGACTTTATCTTGCTTATAAACCGTCTATGTTTACATGTACGCAAAATGAGAATATCCCAGAATTCCCATAAGAAAACCCTTACATACCCCGTTACAGGTTTAAAGAAAAACTTTCAGAAGAATAACCCCAAATTCCCCAGTATATATCCAAAGCCGCCCCGACTTTCAAACCGCAAGTTATTTCGGGTCTAAAATATACCCCAAAGATCAAAGAGATTAACCGTTATAGATTTATAAAGCTCTAGACTGTGTCTTTACTGCTTTCGGTGATGGTTGTGATTTCACTTATACCCTCCCTTTCATGCCCTTTCTTGTTCTGGACGATCAATACCCCTCCTTGTCTCGATAGAGCTCTATTGGTACCCTTACTCTCGGAAAGGGACTTCATGCCTTTAATCTCGGAAAGCTCTTTTCATATATCGAATATTATGCTCACAACCATGACTGGCCTCCCTGAGGAAACATTTGTCAGCGATATCACCCTCGGTTGTAGCGGACGTTGCCTTATCTAGTTAATCGTACAATATTCAATCACTAACGTCATTTTAAATATTTGTTCAGATCATGTGTTCAATACGTTGTTAGAAGGATTTGCCTCATACAACAGTATTTACACTGTCGCGACTCACCTTTGAGTATATTGGGTTCAATCACAATCTGATTAAAATACAGATCTATATTTCGTTTCGTTTTTTTTTATACTTTCGATGGCCTACACAACATGAAGATCTGACCGGTTGTAGTGGAAGGTCGCGTTAGAGGTACGAGTGGTTTTTGATCTATGACTTCAGACATTTGATTAACCAATCAGCGTGCACCTTACGCCAAAACGCGCCATAACAGACTGTTTCATTGGCTAATCCCTCACATCACCCAGAACGCGGGTTATATAACAACTCATCCACATCCTAGTGTAGTAAAAGACAAGTAAAACAAAATTTTGAACTATAAAAAAACAAAACGAAATTTTGAACTATAAAAAAACAAAACGAAATTTTGATATAAAAAAACAAAACGAAATTTTGAACTATAAAAAAACAAAACGAAATTTTGAACTATAAAAAACAAAACGAAATAGGATATGTGTTTTAATTATTTTGGGTTCAATCAAGGCTAATTGTATCATTTGATTATATTAGTATTTACCTGCTTGGGTTCAATCAAGTCCCATTTTAAGGCATTTTCTAGAACACCCCAGTTAAAATGCTGATGTATGAAATCTCTGTATTTAGAGTTACCATGGTTATAGAGACCCATATTTATAGCTGTACCAAACGGAAAGGCCTTCTTCTTCTGTGTTATCTGAAATAAAATTATTTGTGAATTAAAATGATATGGGTTTAACGTCCTATTTTTCTATCTACTACAACTGGACCAATGAAGACGGCATTAGTTAAAAGATGGTGTTCAGTGAGAAAGACGCTGGTACACTAAAAAGGAGGTCCGTGGTGCGATCCAGGTGATGGCCTCGAAAGTTACTTTGGATATTCCACCCTGGTTTCCTCGGGTCAGTGGTGTTTAACGTCCTACTGTTCTTCTCCGACTGGGCTAATGAAGACGGGCATACACCATACAGTGTGCTATGATTGAAATTTTGCCTGGGCAGCGGCACTGGCCTACTCTTATATCGAATTCCAACTGTCAAGGGATCTTTTGCGTGCATGCAAATGTATACATGGGACCTCGGTTTTTCGTCCCATCCGAACGACTAGACAGCTGTTCTTTTCAGTCACTCCGTCTTGCGTCACTGACTAAGGGAAATCACTTCGGGATATCCCGATGAACTGTCTCGGGTCTTTATCAAGCCAATTATGAAACAATATATTGTGTTAGTTACCTGGATATTAACTTGTGATTTATCTATACCAGCATCACTAGTCACCCTATTAATATAGAAACCATCAATTGTAAACTATTTATCTAATATACTATAAGCAATCAATTATAAACTTTTGGTTGGTGCCCGGTGGGATGGGATTACCGGAACCGGTGGTACTCCGAATGCCGAAAATCGATTATTTGCGCAGTCAGTTTTCCTGGTCGGAAGTACTCCGAATGCAGTAAAGGGGTTATTTACGGTGTATTACCCGAGCGTTTGCAGACTGCTTGTTGTACTATAACTGACCGTTCTGAAATCACATCGCCTAAACGGTATTCGGCCACCTTAATCCTCTTGCAAGGGGAGATAACTATATGCGACTTACTTGAAGTGGATATCGGACTTCCTATGTGATTCTATATAATTATCCGATTCCTTTCTCCAGTTAGTATCTAGTTGTATAGGAACAATAGATGCTGTGTCTACTATATATTCTATACCAGCTTTAGGTCCTTGATAATACAAGTTGGCCGTCTTTATAGCTACAAAATTCAAAATTGCAATACGAAACTAACCGGGTTAATAAAAATGGAGGAAAATGGTGTCCGAGTGAGTAGGACACAAACTAGGTCATTTCGGGACTAACATATGGTTCAGTTTTATTTCAATAATTCTCTTTTGCGTTGGGATCTTTAGCAGTGGGAGGAAACGGGGAGACCCAGAGAAACCCCACGCAGTTGGACAGGCGACCCTATACCTTGTCACGTACGACCGGGGAATCGAACCATTCGCCCCTCCCATACAATGTGTGGTACCAGGTGTTCTAACAAGAGTAAGTCTAACCTCGTCATGTAATACGCGACATTTTGTTTATCTTCTGAAATAACACACAACGTTTTGTTCACCATGTCCGAGCTTTGGTAACCATACACGAAGTTATGTTAATCTCGTCAATAAATACATGGCGTTTTGTCAACCACGAACAATGACACAAAGGATCTATTTATTATTAGTCCGAAATGAATACAAACCAAATGTAGATTTTTAGAGTAATTAGACCAGTGATTCTCAACCAGTGTGCCGCGAAATCTTCCTAGGTGTGCCGAGAAATTTTGAACGGCACACTAAGAAAATGCGAAAAACCACGTGATCCCAATTGAGTATTCACCGTTGTTCATAGCTGTGTTTTTCTTTATTTAGTTTGAGTCATTCTAGCTGTCTATGACTAGTCTCTGTCTACAGTTGTATGCCGACTGACTTACCATGTTTTTATTTTGCAAAATTAAAATATTTTTGATATATATTTAGCCAGGTGTGCGATTTTCATGCGTTCCAATGTGTGCCGTTAGCAAGAAAAGGTTGAGAACCACTGAATGAAACAAAGCGACTAATCCTTCACAATGTTTGTCTTAAGAAAAGTGAAAAACACTCCCAAATCATCAAAAAAGGTATTGGCACACGGCAAATGAAATGAAATGGGGTTAAACGTCCTACTGTTCTGCTCCGACTGGGCTTATGAAGACGGCAATTGAAACATTTTAACGTATACTTACCTTTCTTTGGAACATTAAAGATACTTTCAACTAAAACGAATCCATCTTTACTCGAGATTCTGGGATATGACGCTAGAGACATATACGTTTTACTGTTGTCTGAAAGTTATAATATGAGAATATTGGTCATTGTTATATAATCTTTGAGCAAAGAATCCCTCTGCAGGTAAATAAATAAAACAAAGAATCCATGAATGAGATTGTGTTTAATTGCACGTCAACACAACGTGAAGTACAATTTTAACATCTCGGTTGCCTGTTCTCGAGCAATCCATTCTATGTTTACTGTACCTCGACAACAACGAACATAGAAGACAACCCACTGTCTATCTTTTAAGCAAATATCTCGCATTTGTAGGTTGATATGGAGCCGACCTGTCTTAGTAGCTGGGGTTAACACCACAAAAAAGGTGTTCGCGGCAAAATTTACCAAACCCTGCCAATTACGCCGAGCATTAGGTGGATAGTAAATGATATGGAGCCGACCTGTCTTAGTAGCTGGGGTTAACACCACAGACAGGTCTTTGTGGCGAAATTTACCAAAACTTGCCAATTACGCCAAGCATTAAGGGGACAGTAAGTGATCTGGAGCCGACATGTCTTAGTAGCTGGGGTTAACACCACTTAAAGGTCTTTCTGGCGAAATTTACCAAACCTTGCCAATTACGCCAAGCATTAGGGGGATAGTAAATGGAACGCGACAAAGGAAATCGATGATCAGATCAAAATAAAAAAAGACCCTGTCGTATAAATCAGGACCAAAGAAAACTGGATAAAGCACACGAAAAATAAATCAGATTTGTTAGTTTGAATAAGACTAATTTACCAGTAAAAGTTATAGCTACTTCTAATTCTATATATTGTCCCATTTCACCTGGTATATCATTCAACATTTTCACGTAACTTGATATTTTATAAGTCTTTTTAGGGTCCAAATAGGGAAGGTCTTGGCCCGGTCCCTGCCAATACTGAGTTCTACAAATAAAAATGGTCATCATAATTTGTGCAAACAGCAAGCAACCCTTTGGTGTATTCTGTATTGTCATACTTAATAGATAAAATCAATCTGATTAAAACACAGATCTTATTTCGTTTCGTTTTTTATAGTTCAAAATTTCGTTTTACTTGTCTTTACTACATTAGGATCTGGAAGAGTTGTTATATAACCCGTGTTCTGGATGATGTGAGGGATTAGCCAATGAAACCGTCTGTTACGGCGAGTTTTGGCGTTGGGTGCATGCAACTGTGTGATAGAAACATCAACGCAGATTGGTTAATTAAATGTCTGACGTCATAGGGTCAAAAGAGGCTCGTATGACCCATGACGCGACCTTCCACCACAACCGGTATTAAAAAAAACGAAACGAAATATAGATCTGTATTTTAATCAGATTGAGATAAAATCTTTAAACTGTATGAATGAAATTGAGTTTTCTGGCACATATTAAAATTTTAAATGGCATAAGTGTCCGATTTATTTCTGTTTTCCAAGTGACAAGCATGCCACATTCCATGTCGATCGTACATGCATTCGGGGAGCCTTAGGCTTTTTCTAAGAGCGTCGTGCCCTTTTAAAAGGGGAGCCTTAGGCTTTTTCTAAGAGCGCTACACCCATGAAGAAGAACATCAACAACAAGATATAGTTTCTATAAGTATCTTCTCTAATGTTTGAACAGCTGGTCCGGTCATTTACCCGTAGCTATCGCTACTTCCAGGAACTATTTTACTTGCAAGTAGATTTCACTCGATGTGCCCGTGTTAACGGGTTTATTCGGCAATATAAATATTTGAAGTCTGGCGTTTATTTCTCGTTTTTCCTTAATGACGAATAATAGAATCTGTAAACAGTGGCTGTCTTATCACGTTAAACGTACTAAGCAGATTAGAAATCGAATCTATGAATGGGGTGGGGTGGGGTCAAGTATATCCTCTTGCTTACCTGCCGGACACCTTTAAGGCGTGGTTCCCCGTATGTCTAATATTAGTCAATTCACAATGAAAACCATAACAATGCCATCCATCCATACTTTCATAGTCGCCATTCTTTAACAAGTTCTGACTTGAGCAGCCAGATAACAACAGGGCGAGACCCACCAATAACAGCATCATAACACCGTCTAACAAAGAAATAAAATGGTGGTTGACTTCATTTCTGCAAAACCCCGGATATTTTACGTTGATCGTAAAGGTCCGGCATTTTAAAACCAAACAATTTAATCGGAGGGCAAAATCCACAGGGCGAATTTGACTCAATGGTACATAAAGGGGTAGTAGATGTTTCGGAAATGGGAAGTACAACCGGTCTCGTGAAGCACATCCGTCACGAGTCAGATGAATATATCTCGACCTTTCCTTTTTTGTGTTCCTTCGAATACACCAGTATATCTCAAGTGCGAGCCAGGATGTTCTTACCCCTTTCAGAACACCTGGTAACAATTTCCATCGGTTAGGATTTTGAATTACTGTTTATTATTACAGAGTCGAAATTTCGTCCATTAATAAATGTCGGTAGTAAATTGTGTTCTATAGAATTTTTTCATGTGTATTTCCAGTTGATAAAGATTAGAATTCTAGTGAAACGGTAATAATTGTAATCTTTCAGGGGCATTTAGTGAGAGAAAGAAAGAGAGAGAGGGGGAGGGGGTGCTTAACGTCCAATCGACACAAACTAGGTCATTTTGGGACTAACATATGGTTCAATTTTATTTCAATAATTTGCTTGTCTTTAACAGTGGGAGGAAACCCACGAGGTTGGACAGGCGACCCGTCTCCTTGTCACGTACAACCGGGGATTCGAAACCCCGCAGACCTTATGAAACAGCGCGCACGTGATAACCATTCTCCCCCCCCCCACACACACACACACACACACACCAGGCATTTAATAAATGGATAGAGCAATAAACTATAACACATACACATATGGAAGAAAAATTACTGCTTGAAAACGTTGAGAGAACTGTTTCGAAACGTCGCCTCAATAAATGAGTAATTGTTCTTCCATAAATATGTGTTATAGTCTATTAGTAAGAATGGTATTCCGTGTAATTATGACCTGTATAGTTCCAGTTCAATTACTAAATATCTTATAAACAATTTTATTAGGATCGATTGTGCTTGAATTTTTTAAGATTTAGGATGAACCTAACAAATCTCTGATAACAATAGACACATACATATCTTATCTACGATAAGGGTATGCTGACGACAACAGATTTAGGTCAAGGATATGCCTTTTAGGCGGAAGCCGTGGTTTTTAACTGCATGCAAGAACAATGTCTATTCGTTAAGATGGGATAGCAAACCGAGGTCACATGTACACATAAAAGAATCCTGGGTGATGCTAATTGTTGGCCGGTTGGGGAGGTTCGGGGATTTCCGACGTTAATATAAACCGAAGTTGAGTCCAGAATGGCCGCATTATGTAAATGAGTATTTTGGGGAATACTAACCCTTTAAAAAGGGGTAAAAGGTAAATTGGATCCAGGCCCAGTCTTCTAAAACGGGTTAGGGTTAGGGTTGGTATTCCCCAAAATACTCATTTATGGGAATGGATTCGGCAATCACCGGAAATTCCCGAACCTCCCCCAACTGGCTTACACTTTGTATCACCCAAGAATCCTTGTCGGATGGAAACCAATTGCTACCCGGCACAAACCCCCACCCCACCCAATAGCACACTGCATAAAGTTAAACCCAATTCCTTTCTTTTATTTTCAGCAAGCAGAATCGGCTAGATTAGTTGGATCAGTCATTAAATTTCGAAACGAACTCCGTTGCCTTTGCGAAAACGATTTTCAAAAAATGGAAATTCAAAGGTTACCTATAAATCATTGGTTGGTTAGAGAAGACAGTATAGTGACCTTACCTCGATAGGAAACACGTTAAAATAGATAAGCTAAACCCATAAACCTACTTTATATAGACCGGCATTTATCTTTATTCACAGGTATGGTTTTATTTATCGAATTGTATTGTTTAAAGCGGTAGTAAGTCTATACAAGCCAGATTAATTTGTCATCATAAATTAGCTTCTCATAGTAATTGTTGAATATGTTTAGTAAACATACATTATGCAAGAGCTAAATCTGTCTATTGTAGGTCTTTCTTTAGGCCTTGAATGTTTTCTAAATTATTAATTAGACATTTATTAACAAAATAAGACCATAATCAACTCTCGATGGCATCGGATACTAGAGATTTTAACTAGATTAGAACGGTTCGCCATTTATGCTAAGGCTTAGCCCTGGTTACCACAGTGCATACATCTTGTCAAAACTACAGTGATAACTTGGCTCAGAATGAAGTAATTTGAATGAAATTTTCATTTTACATTATCTATTTTTGAGCTATTATAGCAAGAATGGTCAGCTCTTTATCTAAATCTTACAGAATGTATCTTTAATTGAGAGAGAGAGGGGCGGGGGGTTCACGTCCACTCGATACAAACTAGGTCATTTAGCAGTGGGGAGGGGGAACGGATGCGACCCTACTCCTTGTCACGTACTTTAATTTAGACATTCTAACAGTTTAAACTCTGGTGAAATGAAATGAAATGGGGTTTAACGTCCTACTGATCTGTTCTGCCCGGGCAGCGGCACTATCGCCTACTCTTATATCGAATTCCAACTGCCAGGGGATCTTTTACGTGCATTCCAATATATACACGGGACCTCGGTTTTTCGTCTCATCCGAAGGACTAGACAGCTGTCTTTGTCAGGCCCTCCGTCCTGCATCACTGACAAGGGGAAACCACACCGGAAAAACCTGGAAGAACTTTCTTGGCCAATGCAGGGATCGAACACCCGACCTCCAGGCTAGCGAGCCAGCGTCTTACCCACTTAGCCACGTTATCCCCTTAAACTCTGGTACTTACATTCTTCTCGAATAATTGTTTATCTCTCTAAAGGCGGGTTGAATGTCCGAATGGTTAGCGCTTGCGCGTTGATTCATAATGTATGTAATTTCGTCAACTGGCGTGGTTTCGATTCCCCGGTTGTATTTGACAAGGAGAGGGGCCGCCTTTGCAACCTCGTGGGTTTTCTCCCGGTGCCCCGGTTTACCGCCACTGCTAAAAACCCTACGCGCATGCGAATTATTGAAATAAAATTGAACTATACGTTAGTCCCGAAATGACCTAGAGTTTGTGTCGAGTGGACGTTAAACCCGTAATTATTTATAAGAGCCCTTTTCTGAGACGCTATGCATTTCTATAATATTTTATAAATAAAACTTAAAATACGTAAATCCCAACCCTATGGCATCTAGAAATGGACATAAATGGTTCGTTACGCAAATACTCATGTAATATGAATATAAACTGATTTACATTCAATCGTTTTCGTTTTTACTGTGATTTCTAATCTGTTATGGTCAGCAAAATACGCCAAGAGTCCAAATTGAATGGCAGTCTTTGGCGTCTGATTATCCCAGTGCCAATTTTAAAATTTCCATTTTGTCTTAAATATTGGATACCAGAAGCCTATCTTTTCACGGTATGATAACATTAACTAAATGCTGATTTAAATTTACCAATAGTGTTCTGTAATTTTTAAATATTATTAGGATACAAGTGCAGACTTTTTATGTAAATGAAATGAAATGGGGTTTAACGTCCTACTGTTCTGCTCCTATACTGGGGTAATGAAGACAGGCATACGCCATACAGTGTGCTATGAGGGAAATGTTGCCAGGGCAGCGGCACTTTCGTCTACTCTTATATCGAATTCCAACTGCCAAGGGATCTTTTACGTGCATTCCAATGTATACACGGGACCTCGGTTTTTCGTCTCATCCGAAGGACTAGACAGCTGTCCTTGTCAGGCCCTCTTTCTTGCATCACTGACAAGGGGAAACCACGTCGGAAAATCAAGATGAACTTTCTCTGCCAATGCAGGGATCGAACACCCGACCTCCAGGCTAGCGAGCCAGCGTCTTAACCACCTAGCCACCGTGACCCCCCCCCCCCCCTCCATCTAGCTAGGCAGTTAATGGGAATATGTAGGCTACTTATAGTAATTACAGTACTGTCAATGTTTTGAATTTGTACTAAATTTTCTGTTGCTAAATTTAACTTTATTCCTTTTGTCAATGAGCCCAACATTTCTGTATTTTCAAGCAATCTATCAAAATGTGCCTTAGGGCCAGCAGAGCCTTAATCCGGCACTGCAGGTGCCGTAACCACTGTAATAGAATCTTCAAAATCAGAAAAAATAATCCGAATTTGTCAGAAAAAAAATGCTGATGGTACACCATTCCCCCTTGTTACACTAAACAAACGAAACTCTTACTAATGCTTTAAAAAAAAACGTCCCAGGCGAGATTGCAGAATTGTGGAAATTGAGATGACAGTCACAGAGGACCCCTCAACCAATTCAGGGGGACTGGTGGACGCACAGGAACTTTGTTATGATCTCGCTTGGGTGACAAGAACACAATATCTCTTAAACTGTGCTAGGAAACACTTATGGCAGTGTTTATATTTAGTGGTCAAGCTTTGTTCCCAGATGCGGAAACCCCTTTTCCAAATTCATTAACAGAGGAATTGATCAAGTCGAAATGCTAATGGTACACCATTCACTCGAGGTGATTACATTAAACAAAAGAAATTCATGGAAACCCAAAGATGTATCTATATAGCTACTCCAATACTAGTGAGAATGCTTTTATAGCTAACATGGATATACAGATATACGACGATTCTACTACTGAAACTATAGGTGGGTCTAGTAATCTATTGGACTGTGATGACGAATTTCCCGTCATAAAGTTAAAGTTTGAAGAATCAACCCCCACAGTACCAGTTGAAGTACCTCTACCAAGTGACTCTATTGTGATTCAATTTCACCACGTGAAGAAGTTTTATTTGCAATTTGAAGGAGTTAAGTGTTGAAGGGATGTCAGCACTATAGAGGTCAAGCGGGCGTGGTGTATAATTGGACAGTCTGCAATTATTCTTAGTTGGCCCATCCTGTATATAATGTGTATATTTTTAGTCTGGGAAAAACTTTGGTTCGGTATCAAAGAGTTCTCCAGTCAATCAAAACCTACATGTTTTAGAGCATAATAAATCTTGACAGTTTTATACACTCGTGTTCCTTTTGTACTGTAGAG